TCTTGATCTCGAGATCTGTATCTCGAAATCAAGATCTCGAGATCTGTATCTCGACATCTTGATCTCGAGATTCAGATTTCGAGATTTGGACTTAGCAAATTTTTTCCAAAATCCCACCTGCATAAACTTATCTGACAACTGCAAATCAAACTCTTTCAATCAAATCAAACAGTTGAACTTCATGTGCTGACCCCCTGCTTCTACAGTTTAAAATGGCAGGAAACACTAAAACACAGATCGATGATGCCATCTACCCCCAAGGAAAATGGATCAAGGTGCTGGACAACAATTTCCAGCTAGACCTTACGGTCTTCAAGTGCCAGAACCCGATCATTCCGGCCATAATGAAAGGTCACTATCTCTGGCCTGCACTTCACAACGCCAAACCAGTGCCAGAGATATACCTACAACAATTTTGGGGCCACATGCATACTGAATCAGCGAAGGATCACTCCAAAATCAAGACTAAACTGAATGGCATGCGCGTAATCCTGACGCCATCAACACTGCGATCTACACTAGCGCTGCCAGTTCACGACACGTATGATGCACTGCCATCCATCCCTGATCTGCTCAAAGACGTGGCATCTCTCGGCTACACCTCACTACTGCCACAACTGTCAAACTTCAACGGAGCCTATCTCCATCACCCGTGGAAGAGTCTATTCGGACTGGTGAATAAATGCTTGTCGCCAAAGCATGCCGGGGTTGACAAGTGCAACAAGCAGATCCTGCTAATCTTTCACGGCATTGCATTCAACAAAAACTACGACATGGCACAGCTCTTCTTCTCAGAGCTCATGGACCTGGTCAAAGCAAAGGAGAAAAATAGGCCAGGTACCATTCCGTACGCAAGATGGCTCGGGCTGATCATACACGACTGCATGGCAGAGCACGCTTCCATACCAAAACGCAGTACGGATCCTCACTTCACAGCATCGAAGCTACAATATTTTAAAGCAGACAAGAATCCTACCTTTGGTCTGAGGATACCTGGATTTCTGCTCCGGCTGGTCAAATCTTCAAATCCAGCAGTCCAGCAATACAAGGAAGACACAGAGAAAACTGTCCCTATGGTTCAGCAAAACCCAGCTGGACCTACCCCAGGGGCAAAGCCGAGTGTTGGTAAGGGTCCAAAGAGAGCCCAAAAGCCACAGAAACCAGTAGCCGGTTCGCCCAATGAAGGAAAGTCTGACGACTCTCTAGAGACGAGTCAGGCGGCTGAGGGCACCGAAACAGACGCTGAGGAAACAGCCAATGAATCGTCAAGTGAAGCCCAAACAAACACTGACGACGAGGCTTCCAAGAGCGTGGGCACGGAGAGCGGGGAATCTGGCTCGGATGATGACGACGATGACAATGACAGTGATGACGTGGAGCTCACATATGCCCTGATCAGAAAAGGGAAGCTGCCAGTAGAATCTCCGAAGAAGAAAAGAATAACTGCTGAAGACGCAGCACCAATAATTGCTGGCAGACCCCAAGTCTTCACAATCAAAGAAAAAGCTAAGTCGATAGTTGTTTCTAGCGAGACAAACTGCTCAAAGGACGACTATGACGAGGCAGCTCATACAATCAAGAACTCTGAAGAAGTCGTCATCCGGGAGAAAAGGGCCAAAGTCAAGAACGATAAGACTGCCAAGGCAAAGCCCCAGCCCCGAGCCAGAAAGAGCCTGATTGATAAGGCAGACGAGCATATCTTTGCTGGCTGCGATCCTTTTATCCAGATAAGCCGAGCTGAATCCTTAAGCACAGGAGCCGATCTTTTCGGTTCCCGGGTAGAAGTCGCAGCATCTGGCTCAACTACGCAAGCACAGCCCTCTCCCAGCCACTCGATAGCCTCTCAACAGGCTATTGTTTCAAAAGAACGGGACTCCACCCCCTTGTTGGTTCCTTCTGAATCAGTTGAGCGTACAATTGACCTATCTCCCGAGGTCAAAACCCCTTCTTCTCACACATCGAGTCTAGGTGTCACATTCCCAACATTTTCTTCATTTTCTAGGACACCTACACTATTCACTGCACATACAGGTGCACACACCCTGAACGCAACAACCAGAGCGCAAGCTATGACGGTTGGAAGCCCTGCTACGCTCACAATGATTCCATCATTGAATGCAGGCCACACATCAGCAATCTTCACTGATGCTGTGTCAACAGTTACAACCCCCGTAACTGGTCACCCTACCTTTGAAGACGTAAACGTTCTACTCAATCGCTTCCTAGATTCCACCATTAAACCATGGGTGCAAGTTGCAATGACCGCTCTAGCACAGGAATTTAGGACCACCCAAGCGGTTCGGTCTGAACAAACCCCACCCCAACCTTCACCTGAACCGTTCATCTCCCATACACAACCCGTATCCTCCACCCCTCTATCCCACCAATCCATAAACCAAATTCCCATTCCTTCTCTTTCTCGGGGAACCCAGGATACAGAACCAGTATTTTCCCCACACCCGACCACACCCTCCATCGATCTCTCCTCACTATCCTTCGACACTCTAGCGTCGGCTTTGCTGAACAACCTCCTAAACACCCCTGAAGACAAGCTTACTCTTCATCAGCAAGCCATACCTGAAGCCCTTCTTTCTTCACCTGAAACCAAGAGCACTTGCAAGGAGAGTCCTCGTGGTCGCAAACGTTCCCATGAGGACCCCGATGATTCGGATCCTCATGAGGGGGAGAACAAGCGACCTCGATCACTTGAGCAAACTGCCCTACCAAGCCAAACTCCACAGCCCATCCAACCCGAAACCTCAACAAACCAACAGCCACCATCCACAGCCAACTTATCTAGCATGGTCGAGCTAGAAATAACATCCCGAGGCGTATCTCCCAGAGATACCAACCGAGGAGGGGATGGAAGTCCTGATGATGTTACCACTGGTACATCTTCTGCATCAGGCCATCAGTTGGAACCTAGTTCTAAGCTGATGTCAACGGGCAATCCAAGAGAACCCGGTAGTGCTACTCAGGAACACTCACCGCCTCAAAATCAACAAAAAGTTCCATATATTTCCCCAGGCAAAGACATCCATGATACACTGGAGGAGGCGGTGATATATGACAAATGGCCGAGACAATGGACAGAATGGGATGATCTTCGGAATGAGGCTGAACAAGAGGACATGCAAAGAAACTGGTGGCTACGAGAGCTTATTAACAAATGCTCTGAAGATATCATTAGGCTCGAGGACGATGAACGCAAGGAAGGGGAGAACTACAAGGAATCCCAGAAAACTCTTGAATCCGTAGTAAGACAATCAGCGGGAAGACTTCCCAAGACAGAGAAACCCTGGGATAACGTTCGCATCAAAGCCCCCTTCCAAGAAGAAATCAGAGAGCATATCTGGCGTAGACCAGACATAGTCAAACCGCTGAATGAACTAAAGCTAAGAGGCCTTACTCATTTAGAAGGAAAGCAAGCTGGGGGTCATCTGCATATGCTGCTACAAAGGTCAACCGGTACTCAGAGAAAACTGATGGAACAAGATCTGAAGTCAAATATTCTCCCGATTCATCAAATTCTACAAGTGAAGGCTGAAGATTATCATGGAGTAACATTCTACACTTACAGACTTCAACGCACTGACGGGAGCGAATTTACTTGCCAAGAGAACGATTTCATCATGCTGAAACCGGACGACATCTATCAAATGTTCATGGCCTACAGATACCTTCCAGTCAGGCAGAGCATAATATACAGCGAAGGTCTCGCAGCTATCAAGAGATTCATGCTTAGACAGATCCGAGTACACTCTTCACATGACCTACAGATGACTATCGAGTGCAATCTGAAAAAGACAAATCTGACAAAGCCAAGACTGTATGGTCCAGAACTTGAAGACTTCCCGGCCTACCACATCTTCTTCACACCGCCAGCAGTCACCTATCTGAACCACAAGAACGAAAAACGTCTGATGCTAGTTAGTGAAATTGAAAAGTACTGTGACGGAACGCTGAAGATAATAAAAGAACAGCTTCTAAAGATGAAGGCAGAGCTAGAAGAAAATCTTCATAAGGCATCGTCTTATGTTCAAAAGGAACACTGTACAGTAGAGACAATCTTAAAGGTAATTGACGATCGCATCGAAAAGAGAAATACGCTGAGGCAATATGAACATGCACTTGGTATGAGGAAGCACTACTTCAAGTCGCATAAGCAATAAGAGAATGGCACTTGATCACAAAGGGGGAGATTGTTGGAGATATTTAATTGTGAATCAAGTTTGTCATAGATTAGCTTTATATTTAATCCTTGTATTTAATTAGTGCATGAATTAGATAGCAATCGGGCCAAGTGTTAGGCCCATATAAACAAGCTAAAAGCCTTGTACGCCTAACCTAAACTTCGCCTATAAAAAGGGAGCCGAGGGTTTAGGAATAGGTTAACGTCGTACTTATTCTTCATAGCCTTACGCGCATACTTTTGTGTTGTACGAGTTCACGGTCTATCAAAGAGGGTTTTACGTTGATTCATTCTGTGTTCATCCTTACGTTTAATCTTCGTTGTTAGATCGTTATTCATTGCTGTTACAGAAACAGGGACTAACACTTCTGATGACAGTTGTTGCTGGAGGAAGCATTGGGATGAGGTGAGGTAAGTAATTGGATAAGAATAAGAATCAATATAATTGTATATTAATTAAATAAATGTTAGTCATATATTTGAAAAATGAAATGTAATCATACTTTTGTCTTTCAAAAATATAGAGATAATATTTTTGCCAATATTCAAAAAAGAAAACTATTCTTGTTTGTGCACCTTACTTATGTTTTAATAATAATAATAATAATAATAATAATGGTAATAACAGTAGTAGTAGTCACTACTAGAATTTTTGTCATTTGCGACACCACATTTGCAGTGATTATACGTGTTCCGCATCAATTAATTGAAAAATAACTTAGTATTTGGCGCGTGTGAGTGCAAATCGAAGTTTTAAAAATTATTTTAAATATATTCGAACAGCGGCAATAATAAGTTACAAAAAAAGAGGATAGCATAGCTCCAAACCCTGCGTTCCTGGCCTTGGTCGAAAAAACGCAGAGCTCTTGCGCACGCCTCCACCGAGTTCCAAACCCTGCGTTCCATCAGCGGCGTCGAGTTCCACACGCCTCCTCCCCGACATCTTGCCACCTCTTCCACCTGCCAGCCGCCTCCTCCGCCCTCTCAGCAGCGCACGGAACAGCAACGCCGCAGGACGCCGCACTCCGACGCACTCCGCCGACCCCTCCCGGTACAATGCTGTAAAAAATCCTCCTCTTACGCCATATTTGCTTAACAGAGGTTTGATTTCAAACCTTTTGTCATTTAATTTAATTTATTGAATTTATCTATTTTTAGATTAACATTAATATGGATTTAATGGTAGAAATGGTGTCTATGACTATTTATTTACTAGCTGCGTACGCTCTACGTGCGAGTTGTGCCCAATATGTTGCACATATTACCGCCAATGCAAAAAGAATTAATTCATGATCCAAAATGTTCAGTTTCCATAGACCCAAATGACATTTGCCTATGCATATTTGAAAACACTAAGGTATTGATCAATTTAAATGATTGTAAAATCCAAAAGTATGATTTACAAAAACAGCATACTTGATTGATCATAAACATTTAGCTACATCAGAAACATATGATTTCAAGACTGATTTTCCAAGATTAACAAGGGTCCAAGTACTGCTTTCCAAGATTTGTGTTTTCAAATTTCAATGGCATGTGAAATTGTATTTCACCTGTGAAACAATTACAGTAACCATGAATACATCATAGATGTAACTAAAAAGTGATTGTAATTGCTCATTGCTCATAACAGTTAAATATATATAGGAAAGGGTGACACCACGCCGGCCGTTCGTATAATGTCCTGAGTGAACAGAATAGCTTAGAGAGTTAGCTGGTGCTGTTGAGTGCTGCCTTCATAAGGAGGAGAGTCAAATGTCTTTCTGGGGAATTGAAGTTAAACCTGCAAAACCGGTCACTCATGTGTTTGATCAGACAAGAGGAAGGCTTCGGATTTCTCAAGCAACATTGGGTATTGGCAGTGCAAACACAAAGAGCTTGGTTCAGTGCAAGGTGGGAAATAAACTTCCACTTTTTCTGTGCACAATGTTGCCTGAAAGGACAGAGTCTTGCCATTTGGATTTGGAATTTGAGGAAGCAGAGAATGTGGTCTTTTCTGTTGTTGGATCAAGAAGTATACATCTAACTGGTTACTATGTGGGTAAGAGTTCCAGTGCACATTTAGGAGGAGGAGGCAGTGATACAGAGTCATATGGAGAGGATGTAGGCCACACCGACACAGATGTGTCCAATGAGTGTAGTGATGAAGATGAATATGAGGACAGCTTTATTGATGATGGAGAGCCAGAGGTTCTCCCTTCACCCATTTCTAGCGATGAAAATGTAGCAGCTGAAGGAAGCAAGAAAGGGAACCGATGGCTTAGGAAGAAACACCAAGCAATTGACTCTGATGATGATGAAAACATTCCTGAAAATGAAGCATCTCCAAAGAAATTATCATCACAAAGTGGAGAAGATAGTGGCAAGGTGACAGTTCAAGCAGAAAATGGTGTAGGGGGTACTGAGGAAAATGTTGATATTAGTGATGCTGAAACCGCAAAGAGTGAAAAGCCTAGCAAGAAACGGAAAAACAAGTCTGATAATGCAAAATCTATTGAAGTTCCTGTAGAGGTCAAACCCCTTGCTGAAGAGGGATCTGCGAACGGCCAGAAATTAAAGAAGAGGAGAAAAGGTAACAAGGGAGATAAAGTGGATGAATGCAAAGATTCAAGTCCTATCAATACTCATGAAAAGGTCAAGCGAAATCTCGAGGCCACTAATACCGTCAAGGATTTGATTGAAACTGCTGATGAAAATAAATTGCAAACTAGTGCTCAAAATGATGATGCTAATTGTGGTGTAGCTAATGGACAACATGTGAAGAAACACGGAAAAAAGAAGAATAAGAAGACCAAAGTTGTGGATGAAGGAGCCAACAATGGTCTGAGTGTGGAGTCCTGCGGAATCAGGACTTTGTCAAATGGATTGACTACTGAAGACCTTGCAATTGGAGAAGCTGATGGAAAAGTTGCTACTCCAGGGAAAAAGGTGAAAATTTACTATACTGGCATCCTGAAAGAGAACAAGCAGGTTTTTGACTCCAATATTGGTGAAACTCCTTACAAATTCCGCCTAGGTGACAAACGCATTATTGACGGGTGGAACATTGGTCTAGAAGGTATGCGTGTTGGTGGCAAAAGGAGACTTATCATCCCTCCATCAATGGGCTATGGCAGCCAGGGAGGTGGAGAGAACATACCACCAAACTCATGGTTGATTTATGAAGTTGAATTGGTTGGAGTCCATAAATGAGTCTTTATTTTATTTTGCGTTAATGTTGAAGATACTTTTTTGAACTTGAAACCCTTGAGAAAGTCTGTCCTTAAAATATATATATGTATATATATATATATACACACACATATATATATATATATATAGGAATCGGTAAGGATAGTAAGCAATATGTTATGAGCAGACCAGTATTTTTAAAAGAAGAGCATCGCTGCATTGGCTTGGACTCAGTGCGGGCCACCCGGCCCGGGAACCGACCCAGCCCGCTACTGTGCGGGCCCGGCCTGGCCTGGGAAACCGGGTCTGGTTCCGGTTCGGGCCTAGGCCCGGGGGATCTACCGGTTCCGGGCACGGGTAAGGGAAAAGGGGAACCGGCCCGGCCCAACCCTGGATATACAACAAAATTAGGATTTGGATTTCCTTGCTGCTTTGGAAAAGTTAAAAAATTGAATCTGGATTCAATTTGTCTAACTAAATTGTAGTGGTGTGTCCTGTGATTATCAAAATAGTTCGTATTCATTAACAGATGTGAAAACATTCTATGCTAAACAGAGATATGAGCATGATGAGCATATATTTTTCAAGTAATTAATTGGAAATCATAGCTAATAGTAGTCGACTTGCTGCTTGGCCGCTCCTGCCCAGTTTTCAAAGGTTATGTCTCTTGCAATGAAACCATTTCCAGTCGCAGCTGTTAATCCACAAAAAACAGCATGATTAATAAATAATTCTTTCTATACCAAAAAGATATTTTTGGTATAGTGATTGATTAGTTAAAATGTTTAGAATTGCTCAATTTTAGATAGGATCAAAGCATAGACATATACCACTAACATGTTTTATTGCCAATTTGGTCTATTTTATTGAAACTGAATTGAAAAGTTTAGATTTAATTTAGTCTATTTAAATCATGTTTATCTATGTGATATGAAGTGGTCTCCAAATATTTAACCTCTACTTTACTATTGTAAAAATATAGTTTAATCTATTTAAGTCTAGATAGATTTAATTTGATATTTAATTATATTCCTCTGTCTCTTAAAACTTTGCCAAGTAAACACTGTATGATTAAATATTATGCAGATGAGAGAGGATTAGTTAGAATTATAAATTTATTACGGATGGGAACAATAATCTTTTCAACTGTGAAAGGTTTGATGACTTTGAAGTTTGAACTTTGAATACTTCGTGCCAATTATTTGAAATGTGTGGGTTGCCTATGATTATACAAAAGCTGACAGACCACATGTAATTGCAAAAATCGATCGACACTATGATAATAAAAAACGACTCTCTTTGTGCAAATTGACTAATATGATTTTACAAAACTTTTCAGTTTTATTTGTGAAGATGAGTCGAAGCTGGATATACGATAAACGGAACACATTGGAATTTATGAATGTGGTGGCTGAGTTTTGTAAACGTTGTTTAGAATATAAACGACTCTCTTAAAAGAACATTGTTTTATCTACGGTGGCATGTCGTTTTAGAGATTTTAAGGCGAAGTTAGTTTCAGGATGGATCACTTGTGTTAGAAAGCGATCAAAGAATGAAGACAGGAAACTTCCGTCCCAAATTTGGCATCACATTACACCTGAAATTTGGGAAGAGTTTCAGAGATGTAAGACAACTCCAGAGACTGAAGTAATTGTTAAAAACACTTATGAAGTATACGTAGATGAAATATAGATTAAACTCTAATTTTTTTTATAGGAGACAAGGAAAAATGCAATAGAGATTGCTTTGCAAAACCAACATCATCATTGTTGAGTTTAAGTCCAACATAAACTAATAGATATAGATATAATTTGGTATAACATTCGATTTTTACGTGGAAACCCGAAAGGGAGAAAACCACAAGACTTTTTAGCCTAACGTCCAAGCCCGCTCTTTCTCATTAACACTCTCCTCACCAAGATACAATTCTTGAGCTCCATTAATGGAGGTTTGAACAACTAATCTAAACAAATGAATGAAGTTGGGGGATGCAGGGAAGTTCCCTGGGAGAGAAGAACCAGCCTTCAGGGGAGAAGAGCTAAAAAGAAAGATCCTCTAAATGGAAGCCTAGATTCCTATTTATAGAAGGGGGGTGGAGGCTTGCTAGTCTAATGGGCCGGTCAGGCCTTAACGGGCCAAAATGGCTCTAAATGGGCCCGAGGGGCCTAAATGGGCCTCACCAACTGTGTCCATACCGGGTGAAGCCTTGGGCCTCTAAACAGTAACAGGTCGAGATGATATTCCCCAACACAAGTCCCCCAGTTTCTTGAGTAGTGAGTATGTGAATCTTCTTGAGAAAGTATACTCTTGCTCATGCTCCTTCTTGCCTTCCGTGAATCGGAGTCTTCGAATAGTCTCGGACGCAAGGTATGCATAAGTGATAAGTGAGGTGCAATCCCCGCATTAGGCACGACGACGCTGAATAACCAGCCGCTCGTGCTGCATAACGCGTCTTATGCACCACGATTGGCCCCGGACTTGTTGGTCCACCATTTGCTTTACATCATCTCCAAACCCAGTTCGATCCACCGTTCAATCTTTTTGATGAACGGATCGACAAACTTAGTTGAAATGACGACTCACACCCAATTCATAGTTCGATTCCCCCGTTCGTTCCATTTGAACGGCTCGACGTACTATGCGTGGGGTGAGATTTGTACCACATTTTCGGTTCACCCGTTCAATCCATCTGGTTTTGAACAATCTGTTCGACGGTTCGTCCATACTTCTGGTCCCTCAATCCTTATTTTTAGGCTAACACGTAAGCTTCCCCATTCGTCCCATTTCAAAGCTGGGATTCCACCATTCGATCTAGTCATCGTGGCTCGTTGGCCCTCCAAACTAGTCGTCGTGGTTCATCGAAGCTAATCATTGAGACAAGATCTTACACCATAGAATATAATCATGCTGAATAGCTGCTGCTGGTGATGTCAGGATGTTGGCACTGATGGGCCGATCGTACTGCATAAGACGGTGATCCCCCTTGTAAAGGTGTGAGCGGACCTGACCATGAACTGGATACGATGGCGCCGAGGGGCCGATCGTGCTGCATAAGACGATGATCCTCCCCCTGTAAAGGCGTGAGTGGACCCGACCGTGATGATCACAATGATGATCACGTCGTGCCGGGGTGGCCGATCGTGGAGCTACAAAGAAGCATTCAGATCATCCGAGCGATAAGTCTTCCTCTGTGGAGCGTGAAGATGCCTTCGGGGTGATTAACATGTCATGCCGAGAGGCCGATCATGATGTGAGGACAACGACGACAACTGCAGCGGCGGTCCATAAGATATGGTCACGCTGTAAAGATGTCGGTACTAAGGATACCAATCTGGGGACTCGAGCAACGCTCCTTCATCCACGAGGAGCGGGGACGAGGCCGGTCTTCAAAATATGCTCGTCTCACGGCTCTCGGCCGTGATGGACTCCTTGGGCCCCTCGGCCTCCTCTAGCCATGAACGCCCCAGTCATGAACGTCTCTGCGCTCCATGCTGAACGTCGTTGACCTCCCCGCTCGAGTCTATCGAACGGCTTTGTATGATTCTCTTTACGTTGCCAGTCATGAACGTTTATGCGCTTCATGCCGAACATCATTGATCTCCCCGCTCGAGTTTATCGAATGGATTCCACTGCACAATAAGCACGGTACAACCGGAAAACATATACAAGCATATACATACACACATGCGTAATACTTATGACTACCGACCGAAGTGGTATGATAACCCTTGGCCTAGATTCATTTTTTTAATTAAAATGCGTCATCAAGGCAATGCCTTTGCGAGACGCTTTAGTCAGCTAATTTGAGCCGATCGGGGGTACATCCATGCGTCCCCTCAAACCACATATTTAATTAAAGTGTTGGTGGTCTTGTTAATAAAGCATCTTTCAGCCCTATTTTATTCGGGATGTTCTCACCCTATAGGGGATGGTGATGTGCAAATAATAGCAATAATACTATATCAAGGCATTAATATTTTATTGTACTAACACTTGATGCCGATCGGAGGCGGGCTGACTATTAATTTACGTCGATCGGGGGCGGGCCGATAGGCTCATGAAACCAATCATTTAATTTAAAATGATTGAGAACTTATCATTAGAGCTTTGCTTGACATTATTAAGTTCGGCATGTTTTCAACCCCTAATTAACAATGGTGACAAAAGCAATAATATCCATAAAAACTATTTAAAATGGAATCAGCTGGTGAAAAAATGACGTTACTTAGCTGAAATAGGCTGAGTATCAACTGCCAGACCAAGTTATTGGCCGGGAGAATTCGATCGTTCGAGATAATCCAGCCCATATGGTTGTAGTTTAGAAAGCCCATCCTTAAGTCCCATAAGGTTAGCCCCATACCCAGATAATTTGGTGATTAACCATACATCCCCTTTTTCCTGCCGATCGAGACTCCCAAAGCCTCTTCTAAATGAAGCGTCCGCTTGGTGGTGCTTCACAAGAGGCCAAGTCCAGAATCCTCGCTGAAAAGTGTAGGTGCCGATCGGGACGTTGCCGGACGGGAAATTTTGGACGGCCAGGAAAAGTCTCAAACCGCAGTTCTACCGAGCGGGAGCCATGAACCTGAGCAGGAAAAATGGGTGGAGGTCTGGACTGAGCAGCAAGATCGAGCGGCTTGATGTGTCAGATGGTGAGATGATCCGCGACTGGAGCTGTTGTATCCCCGAACGGCTGTGCATAATGGATCTTGGCAGAGGATGTCATTCAGCGAGTTGATATGTGATCTGTGATGCTGAACTTCCCGAACGGCCAAGCATATTGGATTCTGGCATAGGCGTGTACATTGGATGTTCCAGCTGTGGTCGATGTCTTGCCCGCTACTTTAGTTATTCTGATGTTCCTGGTCGGGAGGTTAGCCCCGTGACAATCTGGCTGCTGCTGGTTCTAAGTTTCCCCGTCCGAGTTTGAGTCGGCCTGGGACTGTTTAGAGACGCCGAACTTCCCCAACATAGTCGTAGGAACGATCGTGGGGTTCTGGGCGGCCCTAACAATTTTTGGTTTACGCCACACTCTAGCGGCAACTCAAGCCAACAAGGAAAGCGGCCGGAAACCTGCGTCGAACGACATGTCTTCTGTAGAGTTGGTCTGTATATTTGACGTGCGTGGCTTCTCCGGATTGATCGGTCACTCTAGATCGAGGTTCCCATCCTGGGC